TACCTTAACAACAAAAAAAAAAAAATATAAGTGTTATGAATATAATATTTCTAAATTTTTTTAATTTTTAATAAAATTATAAATAAGTTATAGTTGTTTAAAAAAAAAAATTATTAAAATTGAAGTACTCTATTACAATTTTTTTAATAGTTAAAATTTTACTAGTTTTTAATATATAAAATTTACTAATTAAAATTTTAAAATATTTTGTAAAATATAAAAGTCTATTAGAATTTTTTAAAAAATTTTTAGAATATAAGATTTTTAATACAAGTTTGTAACTATTTAAAGAACTTATAAAAATTTTTTAAAAATACAATTATTATTTAAAATTTATAAATAATTAGATTTTAAAGTATACTAAATCTAATTAAAATACTAAGTCTAGTATAGGTAAATTTAATCTATTAGGAATAGAATAATACTAATATATAATAGCTTTTTGTTAATTAATTAAATAAGATTTTGTTTAGACAAACTATTCTTTTAGAAGAAAATTTGTTATTATATTTGAATACTATATAGTAACCAAATAAGTTCTAATTTGTAAGAAGAGATAATTATATAGTTAGTCTAGTTTAGTATATATTTTTGTATAATATTTTATATATTTTCTTTTAATAAATAATAGACAAGATTATTTAAGTAATAAAAAAAAAATAGATAAAATTTATTTTATAATAATATAAAAACTAATTATATAATTTTATATAGTTTAATTTAACTAAACAATTTTTATTATAACTTTTTTTTTATATAATAATCTTATTTAAAATATAACAAGTTTATATATCAAAGTTATATCAAAACACTTGTATAATAATACAAAAAATATATAATTTTTTTTTCTTTTTTTACTTTATACAATACTATTAACTAAAACTTTTATTAGTATTGATAGTAAAAAATAGTATATATTATAAAAATACAACTAGCTATATATACAACTTTAGATTATTTAATTTAAATAATTTACTTAAAAGTTCTATACTAGCTATTATATCTGAAATCTATTTGAAGATTATTTATTTAAACCTTTTAGCTTTATAATATTTACTCATATTTTATCTGTATTTTACCTAAGTTTATCTAACTCTATACTACTTCTCTAGAAAGATATCTAAGCTAATATATATTTACAAACTTTATAATTTAGGCTTAGATCTTATCTTAAGATACTTTATTATTAACTTTCTAATCAATAGATACTATAGAATCTAACTATACTATACTATATTCTAATTTAGCTTATATATACCTTTGTTTGATATTTATACAAACCTAATTTCTACTATAGCTTTCTACTAAGTTAGTTTTCTATATTTTTAAATATTTTATAAGACAGATCTTTTCAAATCTAGTTAGCTACTAAGCTAAGTAAGTATTACTATATAATCTTATATTATAAACTTACTTATATCTATTTAATTATATCTTTTATATACAAACTTTTTTGTTGAATTAAGTATAACTATTAAAATCTATACTATTTAATCTAACTTAAGATTTCTGCTATGCAAATTTTCTGCTTATAAATCCTATCAAGATTTATTCATATAATATTATATCTCTTTAAATATTATATTATACTTCTAATATCAAATTAATATTAGTACAATATGATTTACAGGATTATAATACTTAGAAACAAATAGTATTTACTATAAATTAAAAAAGTATAATTAAAAATAAGTATAATTTTTTTTATTTATTTATTTTTTTTTACTTTATACAAATACTATTAGCTAAACTTTTATTAGTTTTTAATTAAAAAATATGTAAAAGTACTATAATATTTAACTATGTTATGCTATATTCTAATCTAGCTAGTATAAACTTTTATAATATTTGTATAATTCTAATTTTAGCTATAACTATTCACTAGTATTTATTTCTCTTTTTGAATATTTTACAAATACTTCTTTTAAGATCTAATCAGTATTTTTCTAATTTTAGTATTTTATTAGATCAAATATAAACTAGTATGACTATTAAAGATCATACTATCTTATTATTTAGAATTTTTGCTATGCAAATCTTCTGTTTATAGATCTTATTAAAATTTATTTATATAATATTATATCATATTTCTAAAGTTTGAATAACTTAATACAACTTGATTTATAGAATTATAATCTCAGAAATGAGTAGAGTTTACTATAAGTTAGATACAAGATTTGAGAAATTATTCAAATTGTTAACAGTAAAATTTAAATTCTAAACCTATTGCATAGTAGTTTGATAACCTATTTACTATACTAGATTACTAAACTTTAATAATTTTTTTTTATAAATATATTATATAAATATATAAATATTAAATATAATATTAAATATATTTATTTTTTTTTCTACTAAGACAATTTTGCCCTTCATTTTATTAGGAGAATTATCAAAAGATAATACAGGCAATATAAAATACTATATCTTAACATAATACTTTATTACCCTCCTTGTTGCAATTTAGGACTAACTTGGCTACTCAGATAGTACCTAAGTTCGATCTGCTGTAAAAGCATTTTATCTCCTATTAGTAATATACTATTAGAGTAGTATAGGTTACTAGTAATTAAAAAAAAGCAACTTTTAGCTCACATCAAGATCTTAGGTCCTTTCTAATCTAATCTAAGACTAAACTAAAAGTTGTTAATATCTAGTCTCAAGATAGAAAAAAATAAAAATTATTATGAATAATGAAAAGTAGAAAAGCTACATACTATAAGAACTTAAGCTAGAATAGCAAGAAAAACTTGCTAACAAGTAAAAAGCTTGCTATCTAAGTGTAGGCAAAAATAAATAAAAAAGAAAATAAAACAAACAAAAATTTTCTTTTTGACGTAAAAAGAAAAAAGAAAAAGAAAAACTCAAAGTAGTTTTACCTAAAAACAAGCTCAAAGGCAAGCACTACTATTAAAAATTATATATACTGTTGCTATTCATGTATATATCTTTATAGTGTTAACTAATTCTATTAAAACTATTCTTTACTCATCTAACAGAGCATAGCTTTACATAATCCTCTAATGAAGATGTTAACAGATATTAACTTGTAGTATATGGCTACATATATTTGCAAGTTGTTGTTGTTTAATAGCATACAATATGACTTTCTTAAAATAGACATAGTACTAATGTAGATCTTTTGACAGGAGTAAGCCAAATCCTTACTTTTTGCTATCAAGAAACAAAGAAAAACAATTTTAAGTTCAAAAGTCTAGTTGTTGTAAATAAAGAAAATGATTCTTCAAAAAAACAAAACTAAGAGAGTAGTTATATGTTTGACCTAGTACAAGCATAGTTAGAGTCCTTCTTATACTTCTTCTTTTTACTATTAATACCTTTCTACTAAACTAACTTAAAGTCACTTTACTAAAGTCAGACAGCCAAAGAGCCTAATACAATCTTGAAACTGACTTGTTGTAGTTCTTGCTACTAGCTTATTGTAGCCTCATAGTTTATTCCTCATGTAGTCAGTTACTTTAAGTAGTTTTACTAGATAGTAGTACAAGAAAAAAATTTTTGTTGTCTTGTTGTTTTGGTTTTGATAATTGTTAAAAAGAATTGATTATAAATATAAAAATTTGAGTTATTATATTTTAATTTAAATATATTAAGTTAGCTTACTAGCTATGTTTAAGTAAGAAAACTATATAATGGACTACATATTTAGATTTTTTGTAAATATAATATCTGCAACAATATATGAAACTGAGTAGATAAATCTAAGCAAACAGTAGTAATCTTAGCTCTAAGTTAAAAAATCAATTCTAGTATAAAACTAAACTAGAGAAATATATAAGAAGTACTTAAGAATTTGCAGAGAAAAAAGTATATTAACTTTAAAAAAAGTAAAATACTTATATTTTATATAAAATATATAAATAGTATCATATCTATAAAAGATATTTGTTATCTAAAAAACTCTAAACTTTACAAAAACCAAAAATATATAGTCTGTTTTAAAGCAAATAAAACTCTATATCTTTAGCTAAATATGAATTCTATTAAAAAATTTAGAAAAACTTAGAAAAAAAAACTCTATAGTTAATAAGTTTAGAAACTTTAATAAAACTAAACTTAGTACTTAAGAAAACCTCTTTAAGAGAAGCTCTTTATAGCAAAGAATCTAAAAAAAAGCTTTAAATTAGAATACTACATTTTAGAAAATTTACAAATAGAAAACAATTATTAGATATAGATAAGATAATATAATCAAAGAGCAAAGCAAGTAAAGTACTAACAAGCTTTATTAAATATTTCTAGATATACTTTTATAATACTTATAGAAGTTTTAATATGAAGTTATGAAAGAATGAGAAAAAAAAAACAATATATTTGTAAAGGAAAAAAAAAAATAGAAAAGTAAAAGAAAAGAAGAAAAAGAAAATATAACATTTTTGAATATAAGAAAAGAATTAAAAAAGAAGAAAGAAACAAGAATATAAAAAAAATCCTTGACAGAATTGATAAATAGGTAAGAACAGATAGAAAAGAAGAATAAAAGAAGAAAAAGAAAATATAATACTTCTGAATATAAGAAAAGAATTAAAAAGAAGAAAGAAACAAGAATACAAAAAAAAATCCTTAACAGAATTGATAAATAGATAAGAACAGATAGAAAAGAAGAATAATTACATATTAAAACAAAATAGGTAATTCTTGATATAGGCTAATAGCAACCTCTCTTTGACTAGGAACTAAGAGTTTATTATATAAACACTGGTTCTTATAAGAAAAACAGTTGCTACAACAGATTACACTTGAATACCTAAAGATAGCCAAGTGAGTCCAACATAATTTTAAAAGAACACTTATTATAATTAGTATAGCAATTTGCTTTGTAGCTTATATTAGCTTTTTCTTAATAAAATGTCAAGCAAGATCATCTAAGTTTAAAAAAAGTCAAATGTATCAGGTTGGTATATTACGCTTAATAAGATTACCAATATTTAACTATATTTAATAAATGATCAATGAAAAAAAATCGCTGACTATTTAAAATGTCAAGTGATCACATATAGTTTTGATTTATCATACATAGCATACCCAAGTTTCCTATATACCACGGGTTAATCCTCAAATTATGTAAATCCGCTGATATGCTACGAAACTCGCTTGGTTAGTTTATTCGAATTCCGACTATTAAAATTTTGCCTCAGATCCATTGAGCAAGGACGAAGTTATGTAAATGAAATGAATTAAGAGGTATTATGCGTTAATAAATATTTATAACCTTAAATCGATTATCTGATGTGTATGTGCGGGTCTTTGTTTTGCCTTGAAAATGACCTTACGGGACATTGTAAATCATATGATCTAAACGTGATTTTCAAGGCAAAAACCCCATGTGTCTTTCGAATCTAAATGTGACTAAAACATCTTATCAGAGTCAATTCTGTCCGAGACTTGCACCACGACTATCGCTATTGATATAATTGATCAACCTGTCAGCAAAACGATAGGTAACACATCAGTGTTACAACATAATTTTGGTGATCTTTTGTAACACATGTAAGGAAGACATCAACTATAAATGTGAATAAGTTAACTTAATTTACATTTTAATTCTAAGCAAACAAATAGTAATAGTAACGTACGTCCGTAGCTGTGCCAACATAAATTGATTGCAGCTTCTCCCCATTTGCGAAAAAAAATTTTTTTTTTTTTTACTTATCTACTAAATAGATGTGATTTGATTCGTCATATTGTAAAATAATTTTTGGATCAGTCTTTACTGCTGTTGAGCTTCGGGACTTTAGATCAAATTTAGATTATTTGATGAACTATTATATACTTGAGTAGACATTCTATTAATAGTGCAATATTACAATTTCTCGATCTACAGTCAGTGTTGTCAATTTTTACTTTCAGTGGGAATTTTTCCAGTGAGATTTTGTAATAATAAAAGTTCCAGTGGCACTATTAATTTTGATTCCAGTGATCTTCCAGTGACAACATCTGAACTAGAATATTTAGAATATTATATAAAAGTGAATTATGTTGACAGCGGCAGTAATTTTCTTTGGTTTATTATTATTATTAATTTTAGTTATTTATTATAAACCCACTCTTTTTTATAAATGTTTGCTTATGATACTGCATTATATGTATTTAACATATAAGCTATGTATATTGATCCCTTTATTTCTTCAAAGAAAGCCTAAAGCACCAATAAATTCTTTGCAAATGGAAAAGGATCTAAAAAATTTGGATAAAATTCCAAAACATCTCGCTGTTTTATTTTGGGGGAAAATAGAAGAGAAAAGATTAAAAGAAGCTGCGCAATTATGTTGTTGGGCTTGGCGTTCAGGAGTGAAAATGTTAAGTATATATGATGTTGAAGGTATGTAATTATAGTTATTATACGATTAAATTTATATTTGTTTTTTCATTTTATCTAATACAAACATCTATTTTTACAACCTGTTAACAAGATGATCTAAAACATAATGCACAATTATTACAATTTCATATTGATGCCTTCTCTAAACATTTTTTTATTCATGAAAAATTTGTTCCAATTATTCGTGTTACTGCACTTGGTATATCAACAAAATATTCAAATAATGAAGATTCAAACTTACCTGGTACAATTTCTTTTATTTGGTTCTACATTATTTTAAATTCTTGCTTTATTGGTAGTATTCATTATTGTTATGATAATAATTATTCAGATATGCATGTGAATTTGATCTCATACGCGGATGGTCGTACACGGATAGTAGAAGTAACAAAAAATTTTTCAGAAGAAGTAAAACAAGGAAAAATGATAAGTGATGAATTGGATGTAGAAGAATTGGATCGTCGATTAAGTGGTTTGTAAAATATAAGATTTCCGATTTTTATTTATTTATTTTTTTTTTTATTAATTTTCATGTTTTTAATTAATTCAATGTAGTGCCTCAATTTTCTGAACCTCAACTTCTTATACTCTTTTCACCAAAAGTTGAACTTGAAGGCTTTCCACCTTGGCATATTCGTCTTACTGAAATATTGTAAGTTAATTATTATTATTATTATTGTTATTAATGAAATGAGATTTATGTATTCAAATTGAATTATCTAAATTATTTGACAAAAATAGTCACATACCAGGGAATTACGATTTTCATTATAGCCTTTTTATAAAAGGATTGCGGAAATATTCAAAATGTGATCAAAGGTTTGGAAGATAATAGAATTGATTAAATTTTTAATTTATAAATATATGATATTCTCGTTATTGTGAACTTTCGATATAATGAAGATTAAATTATTAAACTCTCGATATAGTGAAGTTAGGGCTTTATATTTATAATGAATTTTACAAAAAAAATTTTGATAGCCCAGATTTCTTCACTATAATAAGAGTGTCTTGTAATATTGTTAAAAAACAGAGATGATGATCGATCATATCATGACTAATTTATTGAACAATAAATTTTTTATATTAATTATAACTATTCTATTCTAAAAAAATGAAAAAAATGACTGATTACGAACGATCAATTATAGATTTTAATCAAAAATTATCTTTGATCGATCACCATCTCTAATTTTTTATTCATTCACTTTTAAAGTTCTAAGAATGTATAGAATTACATATTAAGCAACTTAAAATACTATTTCATAAAAATCAATTTTCGAAATAGAAAAAAATAGAAACTTGTATAATTAAACAAGAGCATGAACATCTAATTCAAATTGATACAACAATAGTAGTCAATTGCAGTTAATATAATGAATTATTAGAATTTTATAGATGTAATTATTATCAATAAACGGTTTTTCTTTTATTATACAAATTAGTTGCATAATGTCTTTGACTAATAAGATAAAATAAAAATTAAAAAAGCTAGAGATACGGTAATGATTACAGAATCATTAACTAAAAGGCTTTTTTTTTTCTGTCTACTTTAACTAAAGAGCTCGTTTAAATATTACTGTATTAGAGTTGGATTTCAACACCAGATTTTTACCGTTACATGAATTATCCTCAGTGATATTTTTATTACGATATATTTTGTCGCGACTGATAGATTCAATCTTTAGGTAGAATAAGGTTTAAAATCAGTATATATTTGGGTCAGGTGCATCAGGGTATTAGCCTCATTAGCCTCTTTGTTTCTGGTATTTTATATATACTGTATTTTGATAGATCGCAATTTAGAATATATTTTTTGTGGCGTTGAAAAATATGTTGTCGTTTTAAACATTTTCTTCATTGGGAATGACAAAAATTTTTTTACTGTGTTAAGTATAATGTATATAAATCAATACAATTATTTATTATGTATTTTTGCATAATAAAAAATATAATAACATTTTTAAGGCTCATCTACAGTGATGCCTCGCTAAGTGCACCTTCTACATATGCATTTTATATAAATAATCAACTATAAATGCGCATTTAGAGAAGTATCACTGTAATTACAATTAATTTAACAACCCCTGCAAACCCCTATATTCTCTTATCTGTATATCACGCACGAGACATTAATTTCATTCGGTAAAATTCATTAAAGTTTTCACGATAACCTCATGTTATGGCCACGAGGAATAAGAAAATTTTTATTCAATTATTCGAAGCTTTTACAATAAAGACAATTATATATTTCTCTATAACTTCGATCATGAAATTATTTTTTTTCAACTATCGTGAAAAGCGCTCTTGTAATAACAAGAGTGCTCCATTTCTTTATTCCCTAAGTTACGAAGTCACATCTTCTAATCGATAGAATTACTGAAACTTCATAAGTTACTACTAGGACCATAAAAATACTTCATAATTCGTTCATCAAACCCTTCAGGAAGAATGTAAATAAAGGGGTCTCTAACCTTGCTTTCATAATCATATGGTAACATCAAACCAAACCTTATAAATGGTATATATTGTGATATTGTTTCTTTTAAAACTTCGAATTCTTGTTCTGTCCATTTTGAAATATCTCGGTTTAAAGGTGGATTCGAATTGGCAATTCCCCATTCTATTAAATAATTCCAAATTTTAACTTCTTCTATTTCAAGGTCGTCTCGTTTCAATAGTTCTCCTAATGCTGATTCTTCTAAATATGTATAATAAACAGAATAGAATAGAATATATGGATTTCTGCATACCACATCAAAGACATAGTCATGTAATTCGTGGAAGTGTACGTATCGACAAACGGTATTTAAAGATTTGACTATATTTTTATATATCCATGTTGAATGATGATTAATAAGATGGTATTGCATACTTTGAATTAAACTATATAACCCAAGTTCATCTGCTGCTTTTAAGATATCAAGTGAATCTTCTCCATCACATTTATCACAGTTATCCATAGGATCTATACCGGTATAAATATAACTAAACATGATAAATTTTTTTTATGTAAGATTTTTAATTTTTTAATTTTTTTTTTTTTTTTTTTTTATTAATCATTAATAAAAAACCTTACTTGAGTATAATTTCAAAAATTTTAGGTAAAATATTAGGTTTTTTGATTATAAAATATCCATCTTTTTCTCGTGCCCATCGTATAGATAATGCCGCTTGAAAATATTCTGAACGTGCTTGTAATATAATCGAATGAGCTTTAAATTCTTTAATATTTGGTTCAATACCAACTATAATTTTTACATTATATTCTCTAGAATCTTTAAATTTATCAAATTTACCATCATTCATTATTTTGTTAACTAGAAAATGTAACCTTGAGACTTTATGGAAAAAAAGAAATCATTGATTGACAACAATGCAATACATTATTTTATTTATTGTTAGTTACACGAGAATTTCATATAACGTGATCTCTGTGTAACTTTTGATATCAGATCGACATTACATACGTAACAATAAATTTTCTAATAAAGTATAATAATTTAAATTATATATCGATATAGTAATTTTGAAACCTTACTATATTTTCAATGTGTAATTTTATGCATTAAAGTTAGACACCGCATATGAAATATACCTTTATATTGCATTTTCTAAAACAATAATAAATTCTATTCGAAAATATGTCACGTAGAAGTCTTTGACATTACTCCGAATAATTACTATATTGTTATTATTATTCATTACGGCGAATTTATGAAATACCCCCTACAATTTGAAAAATTTAACTACTAATGTGTAAATACTGATTTTCGGATAAGGTACGTCGTTATAATAAATTTATATGTCTAATGTAAGTGGGAAGATGGGTTAGACGCCTTATTAGTCTAAATTAGAGGACAAACCAATTTTTTTAGTGGTTTAGCATTTATCAATAACAAATCTGATAACTAAATTTAAACTCGATGATCAAATGCTTGGATCTGGTGACCAAATTTTGGCTTAATTTCATAAATTCGCCGTAATGTTTAATAAGTTATTACTATTAACGTTAAAAGTAATTCTAATAGTAATTACCGTCAATATAGTTTTACAAGTGCCCGCGTCAGGTACATTGACACTATGCCGGGTATTAGTGTCCAGACTGTGCCTTGTGTCTACGGGCATAAAAGTCCGGGCACATTTAGTTCAAGCAACTTGTGTCCAGATGCATTTTCCCGTAGACACAAAAGTGCTGGACACTTTTAGACAAGGCACTTCGTGCCCTGTGCCAATGCACATGCCGGTGCCTTGAAATTTTTGTTTGGCATGGGCACATGCCGGTTCGATGAAAAATATGAATCAGTTAGTAATTTTTCGGTTCGGGTAATAGGTTTCCCGGTTATCTAAGTGAACTCTATATATATCATGAAATTTTTTTGGATCCCGAGATATAGAATCCTGACAGGTCTACAGTAACGTAATCTCGAAGTCATTATCCTGAGAGGTCAATAGTAGTGATGCCAATGATAAGCTTTAGCTAGTTACGCTTAAGCCGTGACATCATTGGGATGATTCTACTGCATGATTAGGGATGGGCAAAATATTAAGCAATATTACTAATGTTAAGTAAATTCTTACTTATTACTATCATATGATGATAATGGTAAGTAATGATTATTAAAGCTGAAATTAAACGAACATGAATTATCGTAGAATGACTTATTATAAATAATGTTAAGTAATATTAAAAGAATACATAATAGATCACTAGTCAATAGCCCGAAAATTAAAGCCGAAAAAAACTCCTCGTAATTTATAATCCCGAAATAGTGAAATCATGACAGTTAATAATGAAACAATTTTGATAGGACGAACCAAGCATCGCCCTAAAAATTGGTTACGTCTTAAACTCTAAAATTTAATTCCGAAAGTTTTTATTTAGCAGTAAATTTAGCAACAGTTGTTCTTAATGCTAAGTCATATATAATTTATTAAGAAAATAATTTTCAAATTCCACGTTTGTTTTTTTTTTTTATACTGCAAAACATACTAAAATTACGAAATATTAGAGCTTTTATGAAAAAAGAGTTGCTTTTATTTATTTAATATCAAAGAAAAGAAATTTGCAATCGATATAGCCACGATTTATGAAGTCAAACACATCTTAAAAATAAGATAAGTTCTATCTCAAAGTAACAATAGATTCGAATACGCTCAAGGTTCAGAGCTAAATTTAGTAATTCTGAAGAATTCTGAAATTTCAAAAAAAAGGTGAAGATTCAAAGATTTTATTTCTAGAGGTGTGTCTCGGATACGACTTGAGAGAGATTCCTCTATAGATATTCCAAGAGAAAGTTATTATAATTCTAGTAATAAATTGCTACTATTCATCAAATTTATCTTGCGGAATAAATGAAAAATGTAGTAATCTCGAGGAAATACATTTTAATATTATACGTATATTAATCTACCAAATTTTTTTTGTCTTACCATAATGTGAAGTTACTTGAATATATCTGTTAGTTTTTAAATTCAGATACGTAACTGCTTTTTTTGGGGGTGATGCTAGAGTGGTTGTTAAATAACAACTGTCAGAATTATAATTTAAAGTTTAAAATATAACCGATTTTTAGGACGATGCTTGGTTCGTCGGGATTTAGGTCTGTCGGGATGTATCTCAGGATTTTGTACCAGACCAAATTTTTTTCAAAGATGTACAAATACTGACCCAGTCGAGTTATGAAATCCAATTTATTGATTTTGTATGGCCCTAATTACTAAATATACTAAAAAAAAATTTTATTATAAAGTTTTTTATATTAAAATGTCTACAATGTCAAATAGAAGCCAATATAATTGTAAATGAAGATATTTATCTAGATAACAAAAACCAAACTCTACGAAATCTCGAAGACATCATCACCTCATAGTACGACGTCGTCATGTTTGTCCCTCACATTTATTATTTAATACACTTAAAATGAATTATATTTTACAGTAGGAACCTGCAAATTACCTATTTTTGTGGCCCGGCCTGGCCTGCAAAAATTTGCAGGCCAGGCTGCAGGACCCAATGCAGGCCTCTAATTATAGGTATTGTTACTTAAATTTTTCAAACAAATTTGCTTGGAATAGCTTATAGATTAAGGGATAGTATGAGCTGATAAAATAAATCCTAAAATAATTTATATTGCAAATATCAGTAATGAAGATAAAATATTAGAAGAATTGTCAAAATATATTAGAAAATTAAAAAGTTTTGCAAAAAAATACTATTAAAAAATCTTAAAACTAATTAATTAATAAAATTTATTAAATATGTAATATCTGGTTTTAAACTAAGTTATATATAAGATCTTATTAATTTTTATAACTTTAACTACAAATAAGTATAATTAACCTGTTTATAGATTTATTTATTCTAAGTTATATAATTAAATATTTATTTAAAAATAAAAAAAACTTGTTTATATCTATTAAAATATAAGAATTTTTTATAAATTAAAAAGTTCAATATTAGTTAAAGATCTTTTAAATTTTTTTAATATTACTAAAATTTGTTTTTTTTTTTTTTTTTTTTTTTTTTTTTTTTTAATTAAAGGCGGCTTACTTTGCCGAGCAGATTTTATTAGTTTA